GCATTCGCGCCACAAAAGAAAGAGTAGCAACGCGGTCTGCCCTTCATGCAGCTCATAATTTGTTATTCTCGTTTCATTTCTTCTCTATCTCCCGCTCGTTGACTCTCTAATGACCAGAGCGCTTTTCCATGGCGGTCACAAAAGCAGCACATTTTTTCGGGTGATTTTCATCATGAGCGCAAGACCGTTTTCGTATTTTTTGGGTCAATATTTGTTTTAAAGCGACCTGAAATAACAGACATGTCTCTCTTTTGTTTCGCTTCGTTTTTGTGTGTGCGCTGTTGTTAATTGTCTGGTCGTGAAGTTAGAATTTCTGCCTATACACATGAACGCAGTCAATATGTAGATACGCCGAGTTCATACGCATGCACAATCATAGCAAAATAATGTTTCATTTGGACGCGATCACATGTTTTATGGGTCAAATGCTCGAATGAGAGTAGAAATGAACAAAAGAAATTCGTGTCAACCGCGATTTTCTAAACGCATTTGATGATCTATGCGACACAAAGTGACTGAGTGAGTGAGTGAGTGAGAGAGAGAGAGAGAGAGAGAGAGAGAGAGAGAGAGAGAGTGAGAAGCATGAAAACATAAATAAACGAAAAATGAAAGCACCTGAGATAATCGCGACGAAAATGTGCGTTATGTGGCACATTCATGGTTGTTTTCATCGCGCCGATTTCGATTTCTGTATTTGTGTTTGAGATTTAATTAAACACGCGACAAGCAATATGAAAAGAAAAATTGAGTAGCTAAAGAGAGGAAAAATGTTGTGCATAAAATTGGGCCGATTTCTATGTGCATACAGATGAGCATACATCGATATATGTATCGAATCACTCGCTCGGCGCACACCGAAACAAAGAAGAGAGACAAAGCAGCAAAATATATGACACGACGAATCCATTCATTCCATTATGTTTCGTGCCAATTTGGTGTGTGTATGTTGTTGTTGTTGCTCTTCTTGTTCGTGTGTTGTATGTACGCATTGCACGCATATTAATTTAATTTGCGGCAATTACTGTGGGCTGGGTAATTACGAGTGTTATTGTCTCATGATATTGGTAATTTTCATGTGTTAATTTCAATAAATTTAGCATAATATAATTTGTGGATACATATTTCTCGCAGCGCTCAAGCAATCAAGCATTGATCGACACATACCGTTATGTTCACTATCTCTGAGCCCGTTTCGTTTCGTTTCGTTTCGTTCCTTTCCGTGTTCCGTTCCGTTTCACGAGTGCGCGCGCGTAATATCACTGTCAGCGAGATAGGATCAAAGCGACGACGTAGTACATTGATGATTTTCATGCTCATTCGATGTCATCGTCGTAGTGAAACCCATTGACGTTAACCACATGCACAATTAAATGTATGGGAGGGAGAGAGAGAGAGAGAGAGAGAGAGAGAGAAAGATCCCGTTGTATATATATGCCACGCACGACTTCCCGAAAAACAAAACAACGACACCAATCGAGAGTGCAGTAATACTTATTCACTCAGTCACCCCAAAAAAAACGGCGAAACACCAACAACAACGACAAAGAATGAACATGAGATTAATGAAAAACAAGATGTTAAAACAAATGCGAAAACATGAAACACAGTCCACATGCAAGCACATGCAACAAGTGTCGAATGCATGCATTTGCACAAACACACTCAGCCAAAACAGAGAAGAAGAAAACAAAGTGATATGAGTTTAACTGCCATCGTAGTGGCCGTCGTGGTCGTTCGTTGTTGTAGTTGTCATCTCGTCATTGAATCGGAATGAATAGTATTTTTGGCATTACAATGCAATTACAGACGGCACATAGCGCAACGAAACGAAACGACGAAACACGCCGGCAAAATGTAATTAAACTTGAACGAAGGAAGAAAAAAACGACAACAAAACATTTCTAGATTTCATTTGATTACTTCATTGCGATTTTTGCTGCCTTTTTTTGTTGCTTTCTTGGCTTTGTGTCATTTATCATTGAATCGGTGTTCGTACACGTGTTCCCCTCTTCTTCGCGATGATTGTAAATTCCACTTGGATGATTAAGTGTAGTAAATAGGGAAATAGTATTGTTCTTGAAGGCAAAACGCATAAATATGGCAATAAATGTATTAGCAGAATGAACGGGCCATACGAAGCCGCCGACATCAAACTTAAAATTAGCAAACAGCTTAAGGTGTATCGGAAGAGTATGTAAAACTGGCTCAAGAACCGACCGAAGAAAAAAAAACGCACAACGCACACCCAATCGCAATAAAATGCTGAAATAATAATAATGTAATAAACGTATATTGCGAGAGGAACTGAGAAAAATTGAGAGAGTTGGAGTGCTAGCGCGTGGCAGCTGTCCAATTTTCGGATCGTACACACACACACACACACACACACACGAATAAATATATATTTTATGAAAATTGCAAATGCTGCAGAGGATAAAAGTAATGCAGCAGCAACAGCAGCACCAACGAATGAAGTGAAACCGATGGGTTTTTTTTTGTTCTGCGTGCAAGCGACATTAATAAAACGGTGCTACATCTGATTGCATTTTTGCAGCGGGATCAATGCGATATAGCATAAAACCATTTACTTGTTGCTCGCTCTTTTTTTGTGCGTTTCTTCTCTTCAGCATCTGATCTTACCTGTCAAACTGAAGTGCTGCCGAATGTCGGCCTGCACGAAGATTTAAGTGTGTTGTCATTCCTCCTCAAAACACACACACACACAGAGAGAGAGAGAGAGAGAGAGAGAGAGAGAGAGAGCAACCGAGAGAAAACGCAAAAGTGAAGCCAGAAAAAAAGGAAAAACAAAACGCAATGAACAAAAGTGATAGTGAAAAATGCATTATTTCTTTGGGCATTCGATTTATAAATTATTTTCGTGTCGTCGTCATTCGAAAAACTTTATTGCTGTATTGTGCTCTCAATTGTAAATAAAATGCGAAATAAATACAATGTTTTATTACACCGTAACACCTGTTTGATCTTCGGCTTAGCCATAAAAAACGCAATGATATTCAACTGAAGTGAGCTCATTTCGTTGTTGTTTTTTTTTGTTTCTTCTCCTTTTTTTATGAGATTTTATTTATGATCGATTCTTAATGAGACAAAACCACAATAATTTCGTCGTTGGCTTCGGTGTTCGGTCTAGCGATAAACATGTCATGCATATGGGGACCCTGTTTAGATGGGTTTCTAGGTCGAATGCGTACAAATTTCGAATTTCGAACGCTTGATCGGTACTAACCGCAATCGAGTTTCGAATGGAAATTCAATTGAACCAAAACTGTCAGGAAAGGAGTATTTTGTTACAAAACATTTGTGATCGCTTTCCGTTTCATTTTCAATTTGACTCAGTGTGGTTGATGTTTCCGTTAAGTGATTTAGCAAAGCGGAACACTTTTTCTTTCGACGAATTTCGAAAAAAAATTGGATCTGCTCTACATTTCGGAAAGTGGATTTTTCTAATTGTTGGTGCATAATCCATCATTTCCAGAGCTACATGGGCTAAAATCGAGGTCATTCATTTAGTTCATTTCTTTCACTTTTTTCCACTCATTTCGTTTCGCTTGTGAGCTGTGAACTGGTGATGATCGCGCGAGCGCGAACTGTGATCGTTTTACTAGTTTCACCTTCGTTTTACTTTCTTTAACACAATAAATCGAACTCTTCCCATGGCAAGAGTTCAGCCGAGTGTCCAAAAATAACAATGAACCTAAAAAAAAGAGTATCCAATGTAGGAAAAATGTGCGCACAGAGCTGCTTAAATACGCGTACAAATACAAAATTCAGAAGGGAAAAATAAAGCAGCAACGACGAACTACTCACTCACCGGAACTGCTGCATACTTTCAAATTCTAGATGGCTTTCGATAAGGACAATTTCATTAAATTCATGTGCCGCTTAATTTTTGCACTCGAATCTACGCAACAGCAGTGCGCGCGCGCTTGTATGCCGTTGTCGGATTGAGTTCAGGAAATGTCGGTGTGGCGGCTTCTTCAGCAACTGTGTGCATTTCAATGCAATATACACATATGAACGGAAAAAGAAAACTGTGAAGCTTTGCATGGGTGCAAATGCAATGTGTGTCGACACAGATCGGCAACAGTTGTCAAGCGAAACTCCTCGGCTGGCTCTTCTGTTCGATTTGATTAATTTATCCAATGAATACCGAATACATCCAAGTGAAACTGGGCTCTCTTTTATCGTATTTGCATAATATTTTCGTATGCAAGTGATCGTAATCGCAAAAGCAGTTACGGATATTTTCTGTTTTTTTTTTCATTGTCTTTTTATGTCCAATTATTTCGTTTATTTCGTTCATTGTGCGAGGGATATTTATCACAAGTTGAAGAGAAGCGAAATGTAAAACACAGAAATGTCGAGCACACCTTTAATGCATCCTGTTGTCACCCGAAAAAAAACATATCATTGTTCTAGGCCAAAAGTACATTCAAAATGATTGCTAAGCAAAATAAAAACACTTTTCGCTCGTGCACACATCACACACACACACAAATGTGTTACACGTTACAATATCTCATTTTTTTTTTGAGGCCAATCCATTTTTTTACGGAACTTGAAATTTTATACACACATCGAATGCAATACACACGGTTTCTCATTCAATGCAGCCGCTTATTTCATTCATGCTGAATGAAAAACGAAATTGATTTGAGAAAATTCAACGCGAGCGTAGCCTTAAAACATCAACATTTATTCTAGTTTACAGTCGATAAGTGAGTGTGTGCACGACCGACCGACCGACCGAACGGACGCGCATTACAAAAAAACGATATTACAAGATTATTGTGCATTTTTTTATCAGAATTATTAGCAATAGGAACAGAAAAAAAATGTTTACACCAGAAACACACAAACTCTTTATTACAGGAAGTTGAAATTCGTATGCTCCGTATAATGTTTGTTTTTACGATTTTTTTCACATTGTTATAAACTCGAGCTAATTTGTTTCGAATTTTGTTTCTCATTCTCTAAAATAGCTGTTAGATTTGGCCGTGTGCCGAAACGTGAAAAGGCACGTATATTGGCTGCTATGCAGCAAAGTACACAGAATCGTGGTCATCAAAGAGCAATGGCCACCGAACTAGATGACCAGCCACGTTTATTGGCCGCCGTATTGCGTGCACATATGGAAACATGCGAATTCACACGCGAAAAAGTGGCATCAATGCGACAACGTGCACGAGAATGTCCCAGCTATTCGTTGCCAACTATGGTAAGTAGATGGTGTCGTTTTTTTTCATCTTGCCGAATCGAATTTCGAGAATATTCAGGTGGTGCTGCGCATCTTTTTTACTTGCTGAATGTCGAAACGAAAGAATAAACCAAAAATAATTCATTGAATGAACATTAAATTGCGAATCGAATGGTTTTTTTTTTGATTTGCGTGGCAGTGAAACGGAACTCGTGCGCATGATGCAAAACATTTTCAGTTTTTGAGAATTCTCTTGAAAATATTTTTTGAACCCTGCAAATTGTGATCAATTAATAAATGTAGAAAAATTGACGCATCGATTGTGATGATACAACACAAGTTATCATCATCGTGTCTGCGAGACAAGAATTTACAAAACAACAATAAGTCGTCAGCAACAGCAAATAAACAAAACAAAAAAGAATACACATACAACAAAACTAACGAAATTAACATTAATATGAGTCGCGAATATGCTATCGAAAGCGAAGGTCACAGTGACTTTTTGAGGAAGAAGAAGCGCGCAACACGAGCAACACTATTATAAAATAAACGCAAATCTAATTTATGAACAGTGAGCGGCGGTGACGTTGCCGCCACTGCCAACGTCTGTCTCCTGTTTTCTGAATTACAAGCCATTTTTGCCCATTGTATGCATGTATCTACGTGCGAAAAAAAAGTAACGTTACACATAAACGGCCAAATAATTAACATTTAACGATATTATGTCGATACACACAAAAATTGTGTATTTTTTTTCGTTGTTGTTCCTACACCAATTCTCGATAGAGCCAATTGAAAATTATATTTAAATTTTGCTCTTCGACGACCTTATGTATTTGCTTGTGCGTTTTTCTTCGTACAGAAAAATAGTCGCGACGCGAATTATATATAAAACAATGTAATGTTTTGTGTGTATATTTCACACAGGGTGGCAGATTTGTGTGTGTATGCTTAAACGGCTTCATTCATTTACATGAATCAACTGCGAATGTTTCAATAGACGAATTAGTTCAACAACAACAACGAAACGAAGAGAGAGAGAGAGAGAGAGAGAGAGAAATCAACATAAAAACACAGTCTGTGCAAATGTTTGTATTTCTCCTTGACAATGAAAAACTCAACGAATAATAAAATAACGGGCAACAACAATCCACTAGGAACGAGAGAAAAAATAAAAAATAAAACACAGTGACCGTGAATTCAAATTGCATATGATATGCAACGTTCTCGCTAGTAATTTGCATTGTCATGTGGCCCCTTCACGAATACACACACACACACACACACATACCAAAAGCAATGATGTTGTTAGATTAGAGTCGAGCTAGTACAAGTGCGCGTAATACAGCGCCAGTGATAGACAGAGAGATACACAGCAAGAAATACTGAAATACTTTGTGTTTGCATCGAATACGGAACACTCTGAACATTTTACCGCACGAATTATTTGCAGCAACAACAACAGCACATCACCGACAATTTTTGCAACGTTTTCTGAAAGTGCTTAACGGTCGGTCGTTCGGTCGGTGTGTATGTGTGTATAATTCGTGCAAAACGCGAGCCTCGTGCTTGCCATCGAATTGAATTCTGATGAAATGTTCGGAATAACATCATTCGCTACGATTAGAAATGTATATACATAGGCGCGCTGGTCAGTATCGCGGAACTGAAATGCTTTCGAAACGTTTCGTTGAGAAGCAATCATTTTCACAAGGAAATCGATTAAATTACATTAAATATTGCTCATTGCAAACAGTTACCTTTGCAACTTTATGCTTTTACTTGTGCTCCCTCTCACCGATACACGCACACATACGAACCGATCTAGCTTGGCTCGACAAAATGTCATCGCGCGCGGTGTGCAAAGTCTCAAGTTAATTTTTTGTTGTTGCATTATTTCTAATGTCACCGTGCATGCGCAAACCACTATACAATTTGCAATTATTTGCGCGCGATCAATACTTGCATATCATTGAGGTCTTTGTTATCTTCAAACAAAGGAATTCCTTGCTTACTCAGCTTATACTGCTTGACTGTTGGGTCAGCTGATTCTTTCAATAAGAATGGCGAAGAATCCCGGAAAAGAGAACAACAGCGGGAGAAAAAAAAAATTGAAATATCAATGGAAATTTTTATTCCTATATTTCCTTCATCGTCACTAGTTGGAATACAAAAGTCACACCGTCTCTCTCTAGGTCTGTGTTTGTGTGTGTGTTTTTTTTTTCGTTGATCATTTTCTGTAGTTTTTGTCTGTATTTGTAGTATATCAATGTTTAGTGTTGTGCACGTAAGTAAATGTGGCAGAGAATTCCAAAATTTCCATTGGAAATGTCTCATGCTCAAAAGAACTGTGCACAAGTCTCAATCATTTCATTAAATATACATTTTTGGAAGAAAAAATCGATTTATCGACAATTTTATGAATTGTTCGTTCTATTGTTTTGTTCATTGCGTTGATCGAATGAGGAATGAACGGGATTTTTCACCTTATTCTCTCTTCTTTGTTGTTGTTGCCATTTCAGACTGATAACAAAGTGGTGGTGAGAGCAAATGCAACAAAAATGTCCCTTCAATGAACTTAAAGTACGTTGTTCGACCCATAATCTGGTTGAACTTTCGATGCAACATCTCATGGTCACATGACAACTGTCTTTCTCTCCCTCTCTCTTTCTCTCTCTCTCTCTAGCCGTATCAATCTTTCGTTCATTTCCTTATCTCGCCATTCAGCTTTTTACTGAATTTATAGATTGATTTCACTTGAAAAATATCATGCATTCTTTTGGGTCATTCGACGTGCGTGTTTATCTCATATATATATATTCGTTTTTATTGGACACTGCAGCATATACATATGAGATGGTTATATTTTTAGTACGAACATGCGAAACAAAAGCGTTTATCTGTCGTCGAGAGAGAGAACGATGCGATAAGAATGACAAAAATATAAATGCACTCGAATGCGCCTCGATAGTATGTAACATAAAATAAACGCAATAAGTCAAATATAACCCCAAACCACACACATTGAAGATAAAAAGATAGGCAAACGGCAGTGTAGTAGCCATTTCAATTGAACAATAAAAAACAGCTAGTGTGTGTGAGCAAATAAAAAATACGACTGCCTCGTCCGACACTGTTGCCGACGCAGACACTTAAAATGCATCAGTGTATATGTCCATGTGTATATCTAACGCGGTGAAAGCGATGCGCGAAATGAAGTTCGAATGACGAACGAATTTGAATTTATCACACAGCGTTGAGATTAAGTTTAAACTTGACTGCTCATTTCAATGTTAAACGTTTTATGTCTTGCATTCCGTTTTCAATTTATGTTTTTTCTTTCTGTTTCGTTTGTGTTGGAGCTTTGGCTGTTTTGTTTTTTGCTTGTTCGATTGTGCATGCCGACAATCACACACCGTTGCGATTGATCAAATCTTCGTAAGTTTTTACGGGCCCCTCGACACTGTCTGCGAACATATATCTTGCTTCCGAATAACCGCAAAAACAAAACAAAAAAGCGCATGAGAAAATATTCTCAAGCAACAATTGCACATATATGCAAAAACCGTCTGCAAACGACAGCTTTTTAAATAATTCCTAGAAAAAGGGTAAAAATAAAACGCTCTCAACCGTTGAATGAAAGATGAACGAAGAAAAAGTCGACACACGAGCAGAAAAAAAAATCGAATAAAACTTTATATTTTTTGTTGTTCTCGATCGGAATGGAGTATGTCATCATATTTATTTCATCATTTTGATTGTTGCGCGAGTTTCGATCGTTTTTTTTCTGTTCTTTTGCCGATTGTACGAAATGGAAGTGGGCAAAACTCCAAGATTACCCAGCTTTAAAAAAAAAACCATTCGCAGACGGTATACAAATGAGCGATTATTCATAGACAAAGTGCAGCACGTTTTAGGCGAAAAAAAGGTTTGTTGTTTTTTTTCCTGCTGTATGTATCAGTGTGTCTCACAGCTGAACCGCCAATTCACCAAAGCCCCTCAACGATTTTGCTAACGCGGAGTTTGCTATTTAGCAATATCGCGAATGCTAACCTAAAATGGTTCGAAGAGAGACAGAAAAAATATTGCAATGCAAACAGTAAACAAATGTCAAGGCCCAATTTCGTTTTTGTTGTGTTGTTCTCCTATGTTGAATTTAATACAATTTTTTGTGTTCTTTTGAATAACGAATTAAAGCCATTTGGTATAAAACATCATCGTTCTTTAACAATTCTTTCGGAATCACGATGTAAAACTGACACTAGCAACAAGTACATCCGTATCGTCTGACCACACGCACAAATTGAATGATAAATACAATTGCGAATGGCAAACATACCAACGAAAAAAAAAACGAGAAGCGCGACAGAATCAACAGACTAGAAAAATTTGCCACACATTTATTGATTAATAAGTCATATTCAATGTCATATGCGCGCGAACGATTTCGGTCATCGAATGGAAAGCAAACGCAAACACTTTTCTCTCTTCTTCGTCTGTCGCGTCTGCATTCTGGCACTCTTCTGTCGACGCGCCGAATTTCGTTAACGTTCACCCGAAAATGAAATAAAACAAAGCCATGTACTATGTACATTGATCACATTTTATGCATACACAACAATTCACACGCTTTGGTTTTACACGCGCTTTCTTTTGTGCCCCTTTCTCTTCTGTGCCGCAATTCAATATCTCCAAAAGTCTCTTTTGGTCCATCAACATGAATGGATTTCTCATTCGACGCTGTTTGCTATATGTCTGTGTATATAGATGTATTTCCACTCATTTGCTGCTGCTGCTGCTGCTGTTGCCGTCGTTTATTTCTTCGTGTTGTACTTTGCCGGGTCGAAGAATCTGAACCAAAAATGAATCGAGATCACTTTCCAGCTTTTCTTCTACTCCATCGTTTCGTCGTTTTCATTTTTTATTAACTGCCTTTTGCATTTCTCTTTAAGTGAAATGTAAAAAAAAGCAGAAACGGAAAGAAAGAAGCAACGAATGAAGAATAAAAAAAAGAGCCG